ACGTGTAAAGGATATCTTTTTAATAGAGGGTTGATCAACTCCGTTAGCTATGACGTCGTCACTTGTAACTAAATCGATATTCTTTCAAAAGTTTATTACTGCGAATTTTGGATATATCATCTAACTAAACCTTTATAAAATAATCGACTAAATGTTAGATTAATCATTTTTCAGATCTTGTACGAGTTCATCCCGACAATAATATACATTAGATATTTTCTAAATGATTTCAAATTGTAGATCTCTATACTCGCGTATTATTTCCACTTTAGTTCAGATCTTGAAACGTTTGATCTTTCCGAATGTAGGCTCTTAATTTGGCCCGCAAAAAGAGAGGAAAAATAAGAAAACGTCTTAGTTTTATTCAATCTTGTCTTTCATTACTATCAAAGAATTGGAAAGTTTTTTCCAAGTAATCCCGATAAAAGTACAATAAAAGGAAGGAACCCTCTTCTTACCTACGGAATGTCGAATAAAGCTTAGAAGATTTGAAAGGGTTAAAACGTTTCTCACCGCTTAACTCGTAGTTTCGAAAACTCGTCGATACATCATTGATAAAGAAAAAGAGAATTTCCTTCGAGGTGAAACTAGCTAGGTACGGGAATACGAGATCGATTAGAAAGCAGCTCATAAAGAGAGAGGACCAGATTACCTTGAGAAATATCGAACGCCTTTACCCTAACAGTTTTAATTCACAAGAAGGCCTGAATATAATATAAACGTCTTGTTATTTTTAGAGTTCGGGGTGAAACAGGTACAAAAGGTAAAGACGCAAAATATTACCAACTAGATTTCAAACGGATTTATAATAAATACTTCGATTAAAATTCATCCCTTTTAAATGCCTTTCAAAACAATCTTAAACACGTCATTTACGTGCATTGCAATATATGCGTCTTTGACGATAATTTGAACTAGCAATAGGAATATTATTTTCAAAGTTACGATGAAGGAACCAGTTGAAATGACACTGTCGAAACGTATGGTTAACTCGAACGATTGAAAAAAGTACACGAAGCAATCGGAAGTATACGATAAGAGTAACGGACGGAGTCGAAGCAATTCCAAAGTGCAAAAGAGCCTTGATGAAGAAAAGGTAAGACGCGTGAGTTTGTGATGGTAGTCGACAGCATCGTGGCTCCTACGATAAACTTAGGCATGTTTGCCGAGCAATCAAGCATATGAGTGGAAAGTCTCGCAGGCTTTATCGATTGGGTTCCGGAGCCTGTGACGAAGAAGAAGAAGAAGAAGAAGAGGCGGAGGAGGAGGAGGAGGAGGAGGAGGAAGAAGGGTTGGAGTTTGACGGAGAATGAATAGGGGTGGGCGATTTCACGAAAGTACGCCATGTCGGATATCTAACGTTGGAAGAACGTTTCTACGAGCGGTTTGTCCAGTGTTTGTTGTTCTTCGTTGTTCGAGGAGGCCAAACATAGTTTCCGAAGCAGCCAGAAGATGCTTCAACCAATCTATATCTCTCCCCCCTTTTCTCTTTCTCTTTATATACATAGACATATACTATATAGATAGATATATATATATATATATATGTGTACGTTGAAGAACTTTGGAAAATTTCGAGTCCTTTATTTCCTCAGGACCCTTTACCCTCTCTCGGTAGAAAACAGTCGAGAAAAATCTCAAGAGCGCATCTCTTCTTCGAAAACTCCGTCGGGAATTTCACTCGTAGAAAGCTTTTCGAAGCCCTCTGCAGATTTTTACAGCATCGCGTTTTGTATCAAAAAACCACCCCTATAGCCAACCGGTAACGTTTCTTTTGCCGTCAGTTCAAGAAACGTATCAATCTCGCATATGATTTTATTACCATCCCACATTTTCTTTCGACATTTTTATGTATGGTAATGCATAAATCATTGACGAGACGATTGTTACAAATTTTATTATTATTTTAAATTTATTAAAAAGGTCAGCTTTTGCTTGTTTTTCCAGTTATCATACCGTCGCTCGTATTTTTACTATTTCTCTCGACAAAAAGTAGAAACGCGCTAAATGTGTAAGAAAAAACAAAAAGTAAAATGAAAATAACCGTGTAGTTTTAATTAGCATGGGGCAAAGGTAGTCAAAGATCTCGTTACGAGAAACCTTTCCAAAACGCGCACTAATTTTTTGCCAGTGCGTATTTTTCAACAAATGTTTCACGACATTTTCTTGCCAACGAATCATAGATGCAACTCAGGATGGGAAATAGCTAGCTTCATTAAAAATTCTCCCCCCATTTGAACGTCGACCAAAAATGGATAAGGTTTTTTTCCCATTGCATGACGATGACGACGTAGACAACGAATTCCAAGCGTCGTGAAAGAGAGGGTAGAACGAACGTTTTCGTCGTCGTTGGGTTTAAACGACGTAGAGTTTTCGAGAAGCCGGTTCCCGTGATTAATGTAGCGGCATGAGCTTGACATCGCGACATTATCATCGGTACAATGGCCGCCAGGTGTCCGGGACAAGTACTTCGTAGTAAACGAGAAGTATAGTGACGTCAGACAATGCTGCTTAATGAGCTGCCGGTAACAAAGTGGAAAGAACGCTTTTGTCTTTTCGGCGTAATATCGGTTAACTAACGTTTTAGTTTTGTTACGAGACACACACTTATCGTTCGCATTAAATTCAATAGCTTTCAAATACCCCCCGCCATGTTGTTTTTTTCTTCTTTTTTTTTTAATTATTATTTCAATTTCTATTTCATCCCTCGTTTACGAACTAACTCGTATATATCATTTATTCGAAAATTTTAATTATGATATTTATGGGATATCCCTGTGTTTGTTTTGTAGTTCGGGTTTGTCTCGGTTTTTCAAATCAGGGTTTAAACATTCTTGTTTTTATATACAATTGAAAATTCTGTTTTTTTTTTTTTATATTTTTACAAACTCGTTTTAGATACGAAAAATTAATTAATTATTTCATAATACAAAGCTAGTGCGTTAATTTGAAATTACCTCGAGCAGAAGCGCATTGTGGTAAAACTAATTTATAAATTTATGTTCTCTATGGATTTAAATTATATCGTTTTTTATGTTTATTTTAATATTCCATGAGCGTATGTTTTATTTCGTTAAATAATTTTCTAATTACACGAATATTTGTATATCGCTTTTAATTAGAATATACTGTTATCATTTCTTTTCTTTTTTTCTTCTTTAGCAAATATTGAAATGACTGATTTTTCAGTAAAGTCAATTTCCACATAAACAGTCTATTATTCAACTTTACTTCAACGCACCGTAAACATTTTAAACGCTAGATATCGATCAAAAGCCTTAAATTGTCTCCCTCCTTCTTCTGGTCTTCTCACGTCGGCCGAACAACAAGGGAGAAAATGAAAGAAAGAGAGAGAGAGAGAGAGAGAGAGAGAGAGAGTGGTGGAAAGGGATTGGGGTAGGTGGTAGGAAGAGGTGTTCCTTAGTGAAACGGCGAGAGGGTGGTCCAGGGGTTTGAAAACTGGAATGGGTGAAACGTTAGTCCCGTCATACTTCAGCAGGTATGAGAAAAGGGGCGCCCTCTTTTCGCCCTAATGCCCCTGAAGCCCTTGGGCCAAACCCTTAGCAACTTTACCGTCGTCGTCGTCGTCGTCGTCGTCGTCGTCGTCGTCGTCGTCGTCGGGTTGGTTGTTCTCCTTTCTCCTGGTGCTGCTTGGTAGCGTATCGCGATCGAAGTTAATTTATTTTTCACGATGCCCATGCAAGCGACATATGTCCTTAATCGATTTCGTTGGAAATGTCGCGTACGCGAGACGCGTAAAAATCGACTTTGTCCCGGAGACAACCCCAACGACGACAACCCCATCCTTGCTCCCCACCTCCCCGGCTTTTTTCCTCTCCTATTCGAACGCGACGTTCTCACACGTCAACGGGAGCTTCTATCGCGTTAACTTCGTTCGTGCCCTCGAGGAAGATAAAAAAAGAAATCGACTAATAAACGTGATCCGATAAATGGCAGGAAGAAAGGAGAGAAAGTAGGATATAGGTATAGACGGGAAGAAAGAAAAAAAGACAGAAGAGTCCTAGTATGGAAATGAGAAGAAGAAAAAAGGAGGATGAAGAAATAAAGAGAGGGAATGATTGTTTTCAAGTTGGAAGATCGTGTCAGAGAATCGACGTAGAAAACGCGACAGAGAGGGTGGGAGCTGGCGGTGAGGGGTAGTGGCAATCATTCAGGCTCCCGAGTACGCCGATAGAAATCGTTATTGCTCCCGAAGCCGTCGGTGTGTCCCGGATTACGAAGTGTTTCTCTCTTCGTAGTAAACATCTTTATTAAGTGCACGTTGCGCGCTCCGTTGGCGCGTCAATTTTTCAAAGCGCCCTCGAGCTCTTTGTCTTCGTGTCTTCCATGTAACTATAACGATGCTCTTCTGCTATGTATGTACACACCCCTATATACATATACATATACATATATATATGATATACCTTTATACCTATATACCTATATACCTATATATATATATATATATTATATATATGTTTCCAGGTACGTGCACGCGCGCGCGTACCACAGAAAGTTGGGGCGATTAATCGTTCCATCATCAAGCTGTGAAACGTTTTCTCTCCCTCTCTCTATCTCTCTCTCTCTTTTCCTTTTTCTCTTTCTGTTGGTCTTGACAATGGTTGAAACGGAACTCCTGTCTCTCGTTTTTCGAATGGATCTTTCACGATGATAAAACGTATATAAAAGCTCTTTTACTTCTTCTTTTCGAGAGTGTCGGAGTGTATCGTTCTGAACTTCTCATCGAGATTCAGAAAGGAGGAAGAAGAAGAAAAAGCAGAAGAAGAAGAAGAAGAAGAAGAAGAAGAAGAAGAAAAAAAGAATCTACTTCTCTCGATATTACCTCTTCTTCCTCTTTAAAATGAAAGAAACAAATGAGAGTGAAAGTGGGAGAGAGATAAATAAAAAGTTTTCGAAGCCGATGAATTCGAGAAGCATATTTGGCAAGTACGAAAGGAACTTTCTCTACAAGTGGTGCTTTCATTTTTCTGTTTCAGGCTGCGCATTCGTTAAGCTGTCGTCGCATCAAGAAGCACTAGCGGCGATAAATTCTCTACACGGTAGCCAAACTATGCCGGTAAGTAGGAAAAAAAAACAGACTAATGAGCATCGTTTCGAAGCTCCTTCCTTTTTTGTACATGCATATTTATTTTATACGATAAGAAAGAACGATTATCGGACAATAAAATGTAGAACATTAGCCTCAAATTAGCATACGACATGTTCCATTAAATTTGATTTATTAGTACGCGTACCGAAAACAGAGAAAAAGAAATACAAAGTCCTTTCATATTGCTTGAAAACTAAAAGCTTCAGACTTTGGGTTGGGTGTTTGACACCAGTGATATAAAGGATATCGTAGTTTGTTTGAACCACAAAGCTCCTTTAGACCGAAGGAAGAGGCTAAATATCCAGGTTCTTAGGAAAATGGACTGGGACCGTCGAATGGCTGGCTGGCTATTCTACCGACAAACACCCTAGTAATGATCGGCCAAACAGAAATCTGCATAACACTTAGTACCGGGAGAGAGGGGGAGAGATAGATAAAGCCCCGAGAAAAGCCCTTTCCATTGGTCTCCGACGACAAGGAAGATGACGGCATAGAATCGACGTCTACGAAAGCGTCCAGTTGCTACTCGGTCTTCCTCGTCAAACCGCCAAACTTTCTCGGCTTAGTGTTAGAGACCGAGAATCTCTAGTTGTAATTGAATTGTCAATGAGTTCCAACCGGGATTGCACGTGCTGATTGGCAAAAGTTCGTAAAGCTGGACGTCTCTTGGATGAGAGAGACCGTTCGCAGCCCGTTCAAATTATTGCCTATCGACTATCGTTCTCTAACATTCATCGACGTTACTGCGCTAACTATTGCATTGTTAACTTAATCAAAATAATGTTTATAAATTATCAAATTCGTTTTACATTGGTAAGCTCAAGAAAATATTTTAAATGTAGTCGAAGACTCGCAGTTGGCTAGGTTTCTTTTGGGAATCGTGCAAAATATGAGGTATAAACATTTGTCACTATTTCCATTTAAAGTTCAACAGCTTTGTACTGTACAGTTGACATTATAATTTACGTCGTAGAACAAAGTGGCACGTGAAGTAGAAGAAGAGAAGAGAAGAGTAACGAAAGCAGAGAAGTAGAAAGGACAGGTGGAATTGCGGTCTCGTAACGTAGATATTACTCGTTATATTGTCGTAATCTAATAGCTGAATAGAGGAAGAAGGTGGTATGAGCATGTGTAAGCACATGGGAGAGAGAGAAAGAAGAGGAGGGAAGTTAGGGACTCGTATTCGGTACTGTTAGCTCCTAAAAGTCATCCCAGTACCGAGTGGGACGTAATATGCAGATAGCTTCATTATTGCGGCAAATTATGCAAATCTCGACGCCGATGTTACGAGATTTTAGAGACGGTGAGGTAGGCAAGACGAGAGACCTATACGAATTCGTTCTGCGTTTAGGGATACGTACTGTGACGAAAGCACCCTACTTTTTGATGTACTCTACTTTTTAAAAAAACAATTATAAAGTTAGCCAACTTTTTTTTCCATCGGATCTGAGAAATGATCCGATAGAATCATTTGAGTTAGAGAATACTCTGAATTAATTATTAAAAATAATTTTTCGTGAAATTATCTTGAAACGCATCTTAGTGCTCGTTAGGGAAGCAGTATATCCCGTGTGTCGTTTGTAGGAAATACGTTTAACCAAAAATAATTCTCTGTCCTTAATTTACACGAAATTAAAGGACCCTTCCTGCAAAACGCTTCGTCGTAGAGACCACCGTATAACGATGGAGCAGAACCTCGAGAGTAATTCGATTTGACTACGTTCGCTCTGGTTTCCTTCGAATTGCCACAAGTTCTAGCATACTCCTTCCATTTTCCCTATCCTTCTATGTATATGGATATATACATATCCACACACTCGCACATATACATACATATATATAAACCTTCTAGTAGATACTTATATACGCGTACCTGTATATATAACATGTATAAATATACTTGTATCTACTTCTCCCTTCTCGTCTCTTTCTCTCAAACGCGTCTCGACATCGTCGTTGGGTAAGAAACTGCGTCACGAACGCGACATCTTGGCTCATACCTAGGAAATAAGATATTGATTTGCAATCTGATACCGTAACGCTCGACGACGCGCCAACGACCTGTAGGCGACGACGTGCCGCACGATGATGGAGGGTCTGAGAAATCATGACTCCTGAAATTGATAGATCTTTCTCTCTCACTCTCTCTCTCTCTCTCACTCTTTCTCTCTCTTTCTCTTTCCTTTTAATGCTTGAACACTTTTATACTTGATAAACCGAAATCCATAGATACTGATTCGCATCGTGACATTCAAGAATAACGTCCAATTTATATCATTAGAAATGAAAAAGTAGACTGTCCTAAAAATGTAATGAACGATGCTCAAGATAATAGTTCCTCAACGAACGGACGGATGTTATTAGGGTACAGAAACTAGGCTAAATTGTAACGATATTTTACGTAAGATTAATGACTTACGTAAATTCGGATCAATAAGCGTAGGTAGATAATTTCAATTTGATGACGCATCCTGTCGTAATTATAATCATCGGGAGAGGACAGAGACACGATCGTGAAATATATTCTCTAATTGAAGACTTAAAAGGAGATCTAAAGCACAGCGGAGTCCATCAGCTAGCTAAGCCTGCAAGTGCCAGCTTGATATCTCAAATTGGAGGGGTTCGAAAATAATTGTATACCTACAAGCAAGAGTAGCAAATGTTTTCCTTCCATCATCCCCGTATAATATATAGGATAAGAGTAGGAGTTTGATTGTAGAAGTTTGTCTGGTATGTACCATGAGACGAACAATTAAGTGACGACGTTATATTCGTTTAGTTATACTTGGCACTAGCAGAGTTTGGTAGGAGAACGATAGTAGTAGCATCGCAGGACGCCAACAACCGACTGGAGTAAGGTCCTTGGCATGATTAAGGCCTGTTAGACCGAGGGATGCGCGTATTGTGCCAGCGCTTTGTAGATATGAGGGATCTAGCGAGAATATTTCAAGGACCCTTCAGCTGGGAGGAGAAGGAGAAGAGGATGGACAGAACGTCGAGCGTTCTGAGGGTATCTGACTATCCATTTCTCCCTCTCCCTCTCCCTCTCCCTCTCCCTCTCCCTCTCTGTCTGCTCCTCATTGACCACGCCATGCTTCGTGCTTACCTGCTCCAGGTTAGACATCCTTCCTATAGGTTTGGAATCAAGCTCTTCCACCTCCAACTCTAGCTCCTTTTCTTGCCCCCCCCCCTTCTCCCCCTCCTGCCTAACCTTCCATCTACCTTCTCGTGAAGCAGCAGACATCCTCTAACCGACAGACGTCGCAGTCAAGTGGCTAGCCTAGGTTCCCTGAAATGTCAAGTGGAAGTAGTTATACGCCTCGTGATACGCCATTCGAACGAGCAAAATGCATGAAAACTCTTCGGCCATCAACATATCTCGTGGGCATAGACTTTAAATTAATATTTTACATGTGTTAACGTGTGTGGTGCATTAGAGAGTTTATCGATCATTACGATTCGTATTAGAATTTTATACGATTAATTTTATTATCGTATTGTAGAATGAAAGAAAGTCAATAAGTTTGAGTTAGGCTTAAAAATTTGCTACGCCATTTTATGTAGAATAATATTTGAACCCTTAGTATTCCTGTGACTATTCGAAGGGAGAGAACAATTTCCGTAATACCATCAATATTTCTCCAAGGGTTCTGTATTTCTATCAGTTTCGCAGTTCGTCTCTTGTGGTTTGCGTCAGGGATTGGTATGCATGCGAGAGAATGAAAGAGAAAAGGAAGTTGAAAGAGAACAAGCCTACTTCTCACGTAGTTGTGCCTTCTGGAGCGTATGACATTTCTTGTCACGCCTCGAAACGCATCCCTCTTTTCCCTCTATTCTCGCAAATTTTACCCTTTTGCTTTCCCCGCGATCTCGAAATGTCTCGTAATAAAAGCAAAATCAAAAGCGGAAAGGAAAATTCACGATTTACGTATTAACGTCGTTACGTTTCTAATTAAATCCTTCGATTACGTCAAATGAATATTGAAAGATTGTTGAAAAATGTTTGAAACTATAAAATTTTAAATAGACATTTGTTACACTTAACTTGACTTCTGACTATTCCTTTCTTTCGATCAAGCTCGTATCTGCATCTAATTATGGTGATTTTAGCGTAAGCCGCAACTGGTAATTTGAAATACACCGCTGAATTGGATTGTTTGTATCTCGCTTTAGGTTCCGCCGTAGAATCACATCGACAAGAGGCAATAGGCGTTCCGGTCTGTCTTGCGGTTTGAGTTGTATCTATTGAAATTACCAGTCGGTGGATTGGCAAGTGTGATTGTGCGGCTAACGGGAGAGCCTCCAATCAGTAGATAATTGCTTCATTCCGTTGGTACGCATGTTGTCGATATTGTATCTATACTCTCTTCTCTTCAATTCCTCTGTCTTACTTTTCAAAGAGATAAACAGTGTATATATATGGTGGTCATTATTACGGTCTTAGAAGTTTCCAAATTCTCATTAAAAACTCAGATTGTCTGGTCATCGAGCACAAAGTTAAATTGATCGTGTATATCTAATTAAAAACAATAAGCAGATATTTATAATCGTTAAGTAATTGTTTTAATCGTTTGGCTTGGATGTAATATAATTGAACATTTTGAAAAATGTTATAATAGGAAGAGAAAAAGGTTTCCTCGTTGAGAGCCGTTGCTTAAACGAAATAGAATTTGTGCTTCCTTCTTCTTTGGCTTGGTAGTTGTTGGCGCCGAAAGAAAAACTTCTGACGGAAACAAACAGCCGGCGGGGTGCTTAAAGCGGGCCTGAAGCATTATTTTTCAGACATGAAAGGATCTTCGACAAATATTTGCAGTTCACAAACTGCAAAGCGTCGGGGTTGCTGGGGTTATAGTGCAAGGAGGAAGAGAAGGAGATACAAAAACATTTTTACAAAAAAAGGAAAAAAACAAAATTACGGAAAGGAAAATGATTTGCGATACATCTACGTATATCGTTGCAATATTGCTACTGCTGCTGCTGCTGCTGCTGCTGCGTGGAATAATATTGATATGGAATTCTTCTGTTTCTTCTCCACTTACTTTGCCATTCTCTCGCACGTCACTTGGCAAAGTTTATGTTAACATTGGAGAAACGAAAAACGCGACTCTTTGAATCCGATGAATTCTTTTTGAATCCAAAAGTTTAACAACTCCATTAGGAAAGAAAATATTTCTCATCGCGATCGTTCTGTTCAAAAATCTTACTTAAATGTAAACTCGGATCTCTAAAATGAAATATCCTACTTGATAGTTCTAAAAAACATCTCGCTAACTTTATTTTTGAACAAAACGCGTGAGGTGATGACTAACGAATGGACGGAGGGATGAATTGATCGATGGTCGGGACCATTTACGTAGAAGAAGGAGCTGAATCAAACTGCATATAATGGAGCTGTACAGTTAAAAAAAAATATATCGATGTTTTTAAAGTAGTAGCGTTATCAGTAACACGTAGGACAGATATAATGAGCAAGAAGGGAAAAGAGAGAGAGAGAGAGAGAGAGAAGCAGCTTCAAACGTTCTCTGCATGATATCACTTGGGGTGGCTTTTCCTTTTCGCGTGTAGTTCAGAACGTTGGATCGGAATTAATGAACCGTAATCCCCCAATAATGAAGCTTCAGCTTCGTTGCGTCTGATACGACCTCTCTCCCTTTCTCCCTTCCCCTATTCCTCCTCCTCCTCCTTCTCGTTCTCCTTCTCCTCATCATCCTCATCTCTCCCTTCTTGTCTTGTCCGCACATGCAATGTCGATATATATGTGTGTATCTACCGCGCGTAAATGTCACATACGTTGGAAAGCTCGTCGGGTAGGGTGAGAGGCTAGCAGCACACATGAAGATCGACGTTAAAACACATATGAAAAGGGGAGATAGAGATAGATAGATAGAGAGGGAGAGAGAGAGGAAGATGCGGGACGAGATAGAGAAGACCTTTCACACACAGTGTCGAGGCTATCGGTAGTGTGAGGCAAATTATTTTTCCTGCACAACACGTGTCGTGTTATTCTCTGAGCACATAACGAGTTGCACGAGCGATTCCGTTCGCACAAAGAACGCTTTCTCCGGCACCTTTTGCGTTTTCCTGCTTTTTATACGAACCAGCTGATCGTTCGCTTATTCCTTTCTTTTTATCTCTTTTTCTTACTTTAGATTTGATTTTTCTGTTTTTTTCTTTTTCTTATGCTCGTTATTGGAGCGCGTACTTGAGATTTTGAAGAGCTCGTTGGCAAATTGGCAAATATTTTATACGATAGCATTGGAACGTTAGAAAAATATTATAAAAAAAAAGAAAAGTAAGTATACGGGTGAATAAAAATAACTTGAAGGGCCTTAATATTGTTCCAACGTATCTATATGAATTTATTCACCCGTTAATCTCCCTTTGGTGCCTTACTTTAAAAATAGGGTCAAAGAAATGTCAGGCCTGAAAAATATTAAATTATGGGCGACGTTAAGAACAAAAACACGGAGACGGCGTTTGTTTTTGTTTTAAAAAAAAATAACAAATTCTCAAAGAATATCAACATTAATTATGAAAATGAGTTGGAAGAAGAAATAATCATTACTGCGAGAAATTAAGAACAGGTGTATCACATCTAATTAATCGTCATTGATCTCTCTATATCGTTATCAATGGAATTGCTGTTAAGCGCAACCAAACGTTCTTTGATGTCTATACTTGCCCCGTTGCTTGGCCGAAAACACACTAGGCTGCCTGCATCGAATTATACTCCCTTTGAGATAGTCAAGGATATGTATCTTTTAGTCTTGTGCCCAATGATTTGTGCTCCTTCTCTTCGTCTTGATTCTCATCCTCTGCTACATGGATTAGGTTTATAGATCCATGTGAGCATTGCAATCGATCGTTGGAATATATCGCGTTACTCTCCCTCTCTCTCTCTCTCTCTCTCTCTCTCTCTCTCTCTCTCTCTCTCTCTCTCTCTCTCTAGCACCTGGCGTGTATTTCAATGTCATTAAATTACAGACGATACCATAAGATGCATTTGAGTTGGTGGTCTATGATTAAAAGCATCTTTGAAACCGAAGAAGTCTATCAGCCTCTATCTACGCGTCTCTACCTTTCGACCTGTCCAATTTTTTTCCCAAATATTCCAAATTATTGATTCTCGTGATATCGTATAGGATGACAGAGAGGTAAATAAAAGAAAGCTCAATGATCCGCTAAAAGAGTAATTATTTTTACGAGGAATAAGTTTTATCGTACGAGAGTAGGTTTCTCTAAACGATAGTAAATTACTGTCGGTACGTATCCGAGCAAAACGCCTATCACGAGTACGTTATCGAGAGTTTAACGACGACCAACATAGGTGCGTGCGTGGTTCGTCCACCAATCGAATCACGGACATGCCGTCATTAAAGGGGTATTTACTCGGACAAATAATCGTTGAATCAATATCGTAGAAAACGTTAACACTGCGATCGTATTTCGCCGAAAGCGAATAGAAATGTGTTGTATATCTTATAGAAACAACGCAATTATCGGCTAACATGATGGAATTTCTCTCTCTCTCTCTCTCTCTCTCTCTCTCTCTCTCTCTTGCACACCCGCTCACTCTTTCCTCTTCCTTTCACCCTCCTCCTCCCTGGTACTTCTATCTCTCTCTTCTGGTCTCTTCACTCCGGTAAACTGTACGGGTCATATAATTTATTTATGCACGCGCAATCGACGAGCAGCGGCTAACGCATTGCTCCACCAACGTGTTAATTTGTGTAATGGATCGTTAACCGAAACGTGCCCATAGCACTAATAAGTTAATGACGAACCGGAAGGTTGACGGAGCTGGTGGTGTTGGTGGTACTACCGCTGCTACTTCTACATACCGCATACATTGATTATTCAGAACGTTTAGCGAGCGACGATTGTAACAGTTGAAAAAGCACTTCATTAGGAAGCTTTCAAAAGCACACCGACTGTTTTCTTCTAATCGTTCAATGTCTCTATGATTATCTTCGTTGAGTCTTCTTCTTACCTAGCTTGACCATGTTGGATAAATTAGACGCGTTTATTGATAGTCTTGAACAATCAAAGTACGAGAGCTAATTGGAAACAATCTTGTCGCGAAGACAACAGTCAAAACGTATTGGCTCTTTTTAACATGAAATTCGAAGAATTTAGAACTCAAACGGTTAAGAAAGTTACGCGCGCGTATCTGTAGGTGTGTGTTAGTACATTTGCGAATGTATGCACAGTTGTATAAAGTTGAAATTTATTCATTCATATGTGCAGATTTGGTGGCTTTACAGCTTGAAAGAAAAAAGAAGAGAAAAAAGAGATATCAAGTAAAAAGGGAATGCATGCGCCAAGCCTGCTGCAACTTTGCGTGTCCTCGTGTTATAATATTACGGCAGTTATATAAACTCAGACACGCCCAGCATTTACATTGATGACCCGAATATAATATATCACGGGGAAGCTCGAAAGCTAAGCTTTTCTCCGCAGCCACAATGGCTACTGACCACCTGTTGCCTTTCCATTTATATTTTAGACGTCGTGAGAGCATCATCGCCTTATGTATCGTCCTCGTAGGAATCCCAAAAGACGTTGAAATCTTTTCTTGTTAGATAGGATATCTTTTAACTTATTTTTTTCTCATAATTCATACTCATTACAATAATCTATTTATTCTGATTAACTGTTGAATTTAATAAACTGCGCTGTAAGAAAATATCATTCAGTTTTATCAAAATTATATTTCATTTTATGTTCCTCGACAGAGTACTTAAAAACCAAACAGGTTTACGAAGCTATTTGCAAACTACTTATAGTTTTGTAAGCTGAGTACGACGGTACGTTTGGAGGATCTTAAAACAGTGGGTGCGCCGTTTCTAACGGAAATTACGTCGGATACGAGATGGCTGACAGGACTATCCGATCCTGTGTTCAGACTAGCCTGACATAAGACGGCAATTTACATTGTGAACGGCTTAGTACATACGTGATAAACCATGTAACCAGTTTCCCAGATACGGGGCCACATAATCGTCGCTCGTATATACCAGCTACACGCCCGATTAAGTCATCCTTACTTTAGTCGTCGTAGTCGTCGTCGTCGTCGTCGTCGTCGTCGTCGCAAGATGCCATCAGTCTGGAAACCTCCCACGCGAATTTCCTCCCTGTACCACCGAGAGCTTGGAATTTTCCCTAACTCTTGAACCTCATTAAACCGTGTTCGAGTTCCAGTCGTAATCCCTCCTCGTTTGTTAAAGAAAGGAATAGAATAAGATAAGGGAAAGAAAAAAAGGTTTCTTTTAAATCACTTCCACGGATTATTTTCCCTTTTACTGATAACGATTGCTTTTCTGTTTCAGGGTGCGTCATCCAGCGTAGTGGTAAAGTTCGCGGACACTGAGAAAGAGAGACAACTAAGACGCATGCAGCAAATGGCCGGGAACATGAGCCTCCTTAACCCTTTTGTCTTCAGTCAGTTCAACGCTTACGGCGCTTACGCCCAGGTGGGTCGTATTACCGTTAATGGTTCTTCCGTTACTGCATTACCAATCTACAGTTGTACCCCTTACCAAGATTTACAATTGGTAATAGTTTTCTTCTCGTTATTATACGCACAATTGATTTCGTTGAATTGTCACTTTCGTCGTAACGTTTATTAATTAATTTTAAATATTTCCCGTACTTAAGAGAAATCGTGCAGCTGCGACAACAGACCACCGTTCGTTTGACCTACGATTCTAAAACGGAAATATTCATATGTTTCAGCAACAAGCAGCGCTTATGGCAGCTGCAACGGCACAGGGAACGTATATCAGCCCAATGGCTGCACTAGCTGCTGGGCAACTACCACACGCCCTTAATGGCATGCCAAATCCCGTTGTACCACCGACTTCCGGTAAATTCTATTCCCTCTTAATTTCTTTAAAATACGAAAAACAACGAAACATCTATTTTAAACATAATCAAAATGAAATGGATGTATCAACTGTCTTCTATATCATCCATAAGCAGATAATATATGTATTTACACGTGTGTGTGAATGTTTCAAGCGTAGGTAAATTATCAAATGTAATAACAAAAAGAAAAACTCATTTTAATCCATTTAGGACGAAACATTAAGTGACTCATAGTTTAAAACGTTTCGAATTTCGTCGAATAAGGATTCACGTTACAATACCAACTCCTCCCCCTCCCCGTCCTCCTTCTATACAAATCCAACGTTTAGAAGGAAAATCTCGCGGTATAACGTTGCGTCGAGCTACATCAATTTCGTGAAGAGGGAGTGAAAGAGAAAGAGAAAGAGAAAGAGGGAGTGCTTGGAATCGGAGAAACGCTCGATTTCCCGGGAAACATTCGACAGCGCGGAGAAGAAGAAACGAGCGTGAAGCATCCGTGCACCAGTACACACACACACACACACACAGAGACGCATATTTATACGTACCCTTCTAGTAGGAAAACGCTCGATTTCGCAAACCTCTTTTGCCCTGTACCACCCTCGTCTGCCAAGCAACCTCTTCTGCGTAGAACATCCGCGAGCGGTCTCGCGTGCGCGTTTCGAGGAAAAGAGAAGAAGAACGTACTCTCTCGCTGCTTGCCTTATAACCGGCTCGTAAATCAATACAACATTTTCACCGAGCGTGACTCGGGCGAAAGATATTGCTGGGTACCGCGAAACTTTATCGAAAGCTCGCCGAACGGGAAGTAGAAACTTCGAGGAAGCACGGCCCTTTCTCTTTTTCTCTTTCTCTCTCCGACTCCGATCTTTCGATAAGAGAGAAAACAGAGAGAAAGAGAACGAGGAAGGAAAGGGTATAGAGAGAGGGTATAGCAAATGCGGAAATCGTCCCTCCGCAAACGCTTGCTTGGGTTATACGTCGAGTCTCGTTTTAGAAGAAGAGGGTAATACCGTTTCAAAGAGAAATAATACAAATATTTGAACAATTTGATTTTTTAGTTGTTCTTTATTCTCTCTCTTTCTCTCTCTCTCTCTCTCTCTCTCTCTCTCTCTCTCTCTTTCTATCTCTCTCTTATCGATATTCATCATTTTTTCGACACCTGAAATAAAATAAACTTGCTGATCAATTGATTTTGATCCATGCTGGATGAAAAACATAAGCATACTTTACGACAGTATGGTTGCATAACTTTCGAATAGAAATCATCCACGATGGTCTATCCATTTAAAGCCTAGTTATATTCGTCCATTTATGAGATGAAATCGATTGATAGAAAGTAGAATTAGAATGAAGGGTGTACATGCAAGTGTGTATGTTGTATGAGAGAGAGAGAGAGAGAGAGAGAGAGAGAGAGAGAGAGAACTGATGAGGAGCGGAGGTTCGCGACAGAAGTTCGTATTGCAAGAGCAAGAGGATAATCGTTGTATACTGATCAGGTTTGCTCGTAGGTTCCACAGGACAGCCAGTTAACGGGGCGATACCGTCGTTACCCTCGCCGACGATGCCCAATTTCAACATGGCCGCCCAAACACCAAACGGTCAACCAGCAGGTTCGGATCCAGGTGTCTATACCAACGGGATACCGCAAACCTACTCGGGACGTGAGTATCAACTCAGGCGCAGTGTGCCGCCCCTGCGCAATACCCGACCAATCGACGACGGACTTTATTATTCCGCGTTTCCACCGGCGAAGGAAATAACCTCGCCCAGTACGACGGCGCTCGGTGCGTCGCTACGCCACCACGGGTTTTCCTATTTCTCTTTCTACTTTCGCGCAGGACCAAACCATTGCCAGCTGAAATCGCGAAAATGCGATCACCAACGACAACCCATGCTCTACTTATTTCCTATATCTGTCTCTGTTTCATTGTCTCACCTTTTTCCTTTCATGATTTTACTTTTATAATATAACAAACATCTCATTCATTTGAAAAGCTTCGAATAACTATCGTACGACTTTGCCGAATTTATATATCTTATTGATGTTAACAGTCGTTCGATTAAATTGTCATCCCGATAAGAGTCTATGCATTCTTTATGAATATCTACCAAAGTAGATTCTAGTCAAACTTCGATAGGATCGGGTTCATTGAGACAGGGGCACTAAGTTAGGCCCGTCCCTGATAAGAGCTGAGCTTACTGAAGTGTAGATGCCCTCCATTTGTCGATTCCAGCACAGGGGCTGCCCAATGGGGAGGCGACACTTCAACATGCCGGATATCCTGGAATGCAAGCTTATCCTCCTAGTGTCGGTAAGTTATTCGATTTCAATTTTTTTTCCTTTTTTTACTCATTCTTGGCATCGATCATCGATTCTTCAATTACTATAATATTATCGAATTAATTGATTCTTATTTCTAAACCAAATAAAAATAAATAAAACATTGTAAAGATCGTAAGTAGCGAACCCAGTTCTCTTTTTGCAAAAGATTTTTCCCTATGGGTTGCTTCGGTCTCTCTCGTCATGTTCTGGACAAAATTGGTCAACCACAAATATACGCTCTCGCTGTTTAAACGCAACAAACCCGGGCGTACACGTGTAATCGGTCACAGAGATTATTCGCATCGATGAAGAGTAAATCGTTATCGTTTACGTCACGCGCGATAAAATTCGTATGATTTCGTTTTGTTTGCTGTGTATTTTTTTTCTTCTTTTTTTTTTTTTATTATATTTCATTTTATTTCTTTACCAGATCGTTCAATGGTAATTGGAAATCCTATTTGTCGTTTGTACGATGGAAAAGCTTACGGAAACGTCGGTGCAGATATTTTTTTAATATTTTAGAAAGCTTAGCTATTTACATACTCACCCGTTGGGTTCTACGCGAGGGGGCAGAAACGAGAATGGGCGGTGTGTGTGCGGAGGGGGTGGGCGAGAGGGTAGGAGGAGGTGGGTTAAGCTGGAAAGATCAGCGAACGTACATTTTATCGACAGTATTATTGAACAAACAGACCCGCGCACACAAATAGAGGAGAGCGCATATACGCACGCCACGTACGTGCATGGATGCGCAAATGCAGCGGCATTGAAAAAAAACAAATCACATGTAGTTTTTCGGAAAGTCCACCGTTCCCTTCGGGTTCACTTTCCTTCCTTTCATTTTTTGACCAAAGTCGACGTAAAATAAATATCGTTGGATGTCGGGGAACGAGAAAGGGAACGAGAAAGCGAACGAGAAAGGGAAAGAGAAAGAGCAATGCCGAAAGGGAATAATCGGCAGGGGGGAGGAGGGAAAGGCGGAGAGGAAAAGAGGTCAGAGGAAAAACTCAAGCACAACACGTTTTTAACCGGAAGCACTCGGACATTTATCTAGGAAAAACTCAATTTCGCTTTTCGCGTCGTTGCTGGTTGTGTTACATGTGCAGTGCGACTGTGTCAGCATGTATATACATGTATATATACATATATTTCGTAAATGTAAAAATTTTTTATATGTGTATGTACATATACATACACTCACACACACCCACACACAAACACATATATATAACCCGCGAATAAGTCGTAACGTATGTGCAGTTCGTACGTGTGATGCTGATGCTATAGGGTCGTAGATATTATTTTGAATGTTCGAGATAGGCGAGAAAAAAGTGAAATATAAAAATTAAAAAATATAATAAATAGATGAAAGAGAGAGAGAGAGAGAAGTTTAAATATAAAAAAAACATCATTCGTTCGATTGAATTGCGTATCACTGTAAAATATATTAGATGCCGTTAGGTTGATATGCAGATTCGGGAGAGCACGCTTCGTTAAGGGCAATAAATTACGAACAACGTTCGAATGTTGTGATTTTAGCAATTTCCACGGTAATTCTCGCTAATGGTCGGTAAAAACGAAACGGTATAGAAACAGGGGAAATGACAGTTTCGCGGTAACTTGCACTTTTCTATTGCGTTTCCGATGATAAAAAATACATGGACTTTTACCTGTACGCATGTAGATTCGCCATCAGGACGTTGCTTGCATAAGCGCGGTATTATCTTGTTTTGTTTTCCTGTAGTAGTAGTCGCACGTACGCACGCACGCATGACAAGAGTGCTGCTGCTTCTCGATAAGAAGAATCAATAAAACGTACTTGACATAAAACGGTTTACTCAATTGGTTAATTAGGTTAGTTAGATCGACACAACGAATTTAATGAAATTTTCTGCTCGGTAAACTAGACGCCAGATAAAAAGGATAAAAAAGAAAAAATAAATAAAAAGAAAGGGGAAAGAAATATGGTTGATTCTGTGTGTAGCCAGGAAAAACAAACAACAACGCGTCGACATCATAGTTTTCGGATCAATAGAGAAAGAAAATAAAAGTAAAACTATACTGTTTGCGTAGGTACGTGGGTTCAAAGAATTATCGGTGGTTTCGTGAATTTGTCCAGCATACATGATACAGCCTGCAGTACCGTACGTTCCAACGTCCTCTCTCCTCCTCTTCCTCCTTCTCATCGTCACAGCACCAGTGCGAACCGTCCAACCTTTTTTTTTGCTACTCCCTTTTCTATTTTTTTTTTACGTTTACAGGTGTCTCTAAAACGGTCTGTTTTTTCTCCTATATTTGTTTCCAGCGTACACACAAACTCTCGTCGAGATCAACGGATCGAAAAAAGCAATCCCGTATATATTCGCTACTTGCTCGTTCGTTCGTTCGTCCGTATGTCCGTTCGTTCGTTCGTTCGTCCGTTCGTTCGTTCGTCCGTTCGTTCATTTTCTCTCTCTTCTGCTGTCTCTTTCCATTTTTCTCCTTTTCTGTTAAACAGGACGAGATAACCGACGTATGATCGCACATTTATTTCATACGCCAAATGTTGACCCATCGCGCTCCGTGAAGCCTCCGGTAACGTCAATCGGAATATATTAAAGTGATATTTGCACGGGAATAATTAATTCCGAAGCGAAATTTCAACGTTGCGGATTTGAGAGTCGGCGGCGGTGGCGGTGGCGGCAAGCAACTGAAATTCGCGCAATGCAATGCAATGCCGCGTTCCGTCTCTATCCTATTCTATGTACCCTATGCCCCCGTCGCAAACAGATATCAATCACGTATCGTTTTAAATGTTTACTCAAGTATGTGATTAATAACGTTATGATTACTACGAGTACGCGATTATAGGTAGGAGGGAAATATGTGTGGAGGGAACGATGTCCGACGATGTGTCCGATCATCCTTTTCAAAATATTCTAGTAAATGTAAAAAGTTATCATTCTTAAGCGAGTTTGAATACCACCGATGGACTGGCTCTATCCATCGATCGATATAACGACGAGAGACCGAGTGAAAAGTCATGCGCCATCGTGAACGTGAAACGTGATCTCCCACGCGTGATTTCATCAGGGTAGTCCGATCCTTCTCTCAGCGTGTGACTTTGAAGCCGTATCGAATGTCGTTTTCGAGAGTACACGAACCGGCACAATATTTCACTCCGTTTCTTCATCGACAATTAGAAGAATACAAAAAATACAAGAAGGAAAAACAAATAGAAAAAGGAAATATATATATAGAAAGAGGTACATAACTATACGTATATAGATACATGTAGCACAGAGTATGTAGTAGAAGGCAGGTACAAAGCACCGAATGTATGGTATTTAAAGTTAGGAAATGGCGATATCGTTGAGAGACGAATATCCTTGTCCGTGGAAGCGGCATGATAAATGGCGCAGGAGGAACGTTCGTGAGACTCCCTATAGCGGAGATTCGCCACCATTCGTTTGCTTTTAAGTTGACAAGGTAAATGGACCGCGCCGTAGAACGCGATACGAACGATATCGCCTTCTTTTCTTCCTTCCTACCCTTTTATTCTTTTTTTTATGCTTTTTTTCTCCCTCATTCTCTTCGACAAAGTAGACAATTGTTTTTCTTTTACAAAAATATCCATTTTCTTTTGCCCCAAAGCCCCCGCCCACCCTTCGGAGCAAATAGAAATGTACTAATTTTTGTCCAGAGTGAAAATCCATCCGTGTCTATAAATATAAGATGAAACACCGAATAGCATCATAAACGAGCATGCACATTTTCCGTCTCTCTATGTCGACAAATACGATGTATTTTGTTCGTTATCCGTTATTTGTTACTGTCGCAGCTTATTCCACCGTCTACGGCCAGTTTCCTCAAGCTATTCCTCAGCCGATGACCGCCGCTGTGGCACCTACGCAAAGGGAAGGTAAGTACAAACACGTTAACGTATTCATTGTTGATTGTAATACGAAATAATAGTAGTTTATCCAATTCGTAGTTGATACCATTTCCTTGAACACTCACACTCACACATTCGCACAAACTTTATACACGCACACATGCGTCCAGACACGAAGGATTCCATTTAGTCGATCGTCTAAAGTCGAAAAGTATAATACGAACAAAAAATAAGAAGAAAAGAAATGAGAACAAAAATAGTAGTAGGTTGAACAGCGAAGAGGTGGAAAAGTAGAGAAAAATTATATTCTTTTGCGCTGTGTGGAGAGAGGGGAGGAAAAAGGTCGATTAAAAAGCGTTGCCTTTTTTTCCCTGCTTTTTCTTCGTCTTTCAAAAGTTTTCGTTCTCTTTTAATTCGACGCTCTCGGTACTCCTCTCTTCTTCTTCTTCTTCTTCTCCTTCGTCCAGGGCTCAAGGCGTAGAGGCGAAACCTTTGATGAAATTTTTCGCGGAAGAATTCTTTCCAACAGGGTTTTCATCGGCACGTACGTTTAACGGCGGGTTTCTTTCTCATCAAGCGGGTGCCCAAAGTAAAACTATATCTCTTATCCTTGCTTCCGAAAACTTTCACGAAATATACCACCATCTTCCTCTCTCTCTCTCTCTCTCTCTCTCTCTCTCTCTCTCTCTCTCTCTCTCTCTTTCTTTCATATATTAATTGTCTCGAACTGGAACAAAGTGAGTTAAAGTAAGATCGTTCAAGGGTTTGAGGTGAAAAGGTGAAACCACCGAATCTATCAAATTGAATTCGACGAATTTTTAAGAAGAAGAACAAATCCAAAGTGTTCTGTCCTTCTACAAAACGTACACCCTCGTTCTAACCCTCACCTTCAATCTCAGCCTCAACCTCACCCTCAACCTCAACCTCTCTTTCTTTTACTTTCCTTTCGTGTAACGAGCAGAAATGTTCGTTGAAATCGTTGACTACAACCGAAGACTGGTTTTCCAATTAAAAGTACAACGGAATCGATCGAGGTGGTGCTTAACGAGCCGTCAGTCGAACGAAACGTCCTGAAAAAGACGGTCCTTGTTCTTTGTGGAAAAACGAGTAGGAACGTGGCCGAAAGGAAGTTGAGAAGTGATGTTGAAACAGGAGTAGGGAAGAAAGAAAGAAGAAAGGAAGGAAGGAAATAAAGAGAATCAGAAGAAGGAGGTTAAAAATAGGGTGGTGGTAGTAGGTGGATGAAGAGAGAAAGAGAGAGAGAGAAGCCCCACGCCTAATTGCAATTAACAACTCGCCATTATTAGAATATACGATGCCTTACAATGAGATAATGCAAATAAAACGAAAGTTTTAATTACTTTGCCGCTACGCCCCGTAGGCGATCCGTTGTTACATCGTAGGATAATGGAAAGTTTACTGCGACAGCCACCCACGACTTTCGCCCCCTACCACCCCATCCCACTACCTCCCCTAGGCTCACCCACTCCCTAGATTATCCTCCTCGGCTTCTCTTTTCTTCCCTTCCTCTATATATTTTTCTTCCTGTTTTTCTATTTTTTTTCTCGGCTTCCATCCATCTTTTTTACGCTCACGAGATCATCGTTCCACATAACGTTAATGCACTTTGACGTGTGGATTATGACGGGTTCGATCATCAAATTCTCAGTATCTCTCCCTTTTTCGAAATAGAAGGAGGATTTCCCATTTCGGCAGGTTCTCTGAATTGCCGATGAAAATTTCATATGTCCTTGGAAAAATACATATTCTATGTGCGTGTCAGGAATGTGTTTCGAATCTTTCAGGAATATTGCAGCCTGCATCGGTTTCATTCTGTTCGTTTCTTTTTTTCCTTGCACGACACTAAGTCATCAATTCACTTGGTAATCGTTTTCCTCTTTATTGTCATTATCACTATCAGTATTCAATGTCTCTCTATTTTTTTCTTTCTTTCCGTTCCCTGTCACACGGATATATTACAAAGAATATTTCTCTAAACGTTGCATCGCGTAACTTTCTCTGTACACTCGTTCTATCCCTGTTCAAAAATTTAGTTATACTCCTCATTGCATTGGACAAATGTCAATGGTTGTTTCCTGTGTTGTTCTACGAAACAGACCTGACTGCTCGCTTCTGTATCTCATGTTTTCGTGTTAAACGTCAACGTAAATTCTTCAATTTAAATCAAGATCATTTAAAAAAAAAAGAAAAAGTTTGAAAACGATCAAAGTCGTATCAAAGTATAATAACTTTACAACTTTGGACTCTTCTATTGGTTCGTCAAGGACAACGGTACAGGAGGAAATAGAAGAGAAGTTGTTGGGCCATTCTCATTAAATTTGTGGACACATTCCACGCTAAGGCCAATTAGCGAGTCGAGAAGCAATTTCAGGATCACCGATCAGGCACCACGCGACGACAGAACTGAATTTATTACTCGTTCTTCGTGATTCCATTTTCCTCTCTCTCTCTCTCTCTCTCTCTTCCTTCGTCGGTAGCAACTGGAAACCTGTCGACACCCACGCTAATTTGGGTTTCGCGTGACAACTTCGATCGAGTTATTGCCGGGACAAAGCTACGACGCAAAGGGGAAACATTTGTCACTCTTTATGTAAACCGCGAAACGCGTTAAGGTTACTCCTCGGATAACGCAAACTTTCCTTTTTGACGCGAAATTAATTTCGAAGCCTTTAGCGCCACCTCGATCATTGTCCCTTCTCGTTTTCTCTCTCGCTTCCTCCAAACTTATTATTTTATATTTCAAATGAGGCCAGGACACAGTCAAAGGAGAAAACATCGCCTGCGGATATTTCGTAATTCCTTTTGCGAATCGTCGACTTTTGAATTCCTTTGTCTTCTCCTCTCTCTCTCTCTCTCTCTGAAATAAACAATGAAAACATAGCAAAAGAAGAAATTAAAAAACTCGTGCAATTATATTTGATTAGAAAGTACGCGCAATTATATCAGAGCAACACCTGGGAAATGTCGGCACTTTAACATAGGCTAATCCATTTCATTAGACGGAATTTAATGAGAGGAGGCTATTTTAGCGAAGGAATTAACAAAGGAAATGAAAAGAGAGAGAATCCAAAAGAAAATTCTTCAAATCCGCTGAAATTACAAAATTGTATGAAGAAATCCTTAAAAATTTATCTGAAAATTGAAGAGTAACATCCGGATTCAAAGTGGGCTCAAATTATTATCATCAAAAACATAGAGATCTCTGAGATTATTTGTTGGAACTGCTGCCAATAGGACAATTATATTTGCTAGAGTTACTGGAGATAGCACGTTTCGGTTATTCCCAAAGTCTCAAAAGTAAAATGAGGGAAGAAGAAGAAGAAGAAGATCTCAAAGATGGTGGTGGTGGTGGTGATGGCGGATCTTGCTAAAGTAACAAGCGACTCGCGATGAGTAGCGCCCTAAAAGTTGAGTGGCAGCCATCTCATTACTTAAATGCGTCCGTTAGTTGGGTAGCTTTCTGGGCAAGAGAGCAGAAGTTTCCACGGTCATAATCGCCGCTAATTGACGTTGGAGTTATAAAGTTCAGTGAAATTAGCTAAATCCTTATTTGGACTTCCTCCCGTCCCTCTTCTTTCGCTTTCCATCTCTCCTGCCCACTTTTGGCACTACGTAGGAGAAGAAGGAAAGCTTTCTTGGTTGAGCATGCGCTCGTAATTACAATAATCCCTGTCGATGTCTTCATTGTCACTTTTCGACTTAATTTTAATTCAAACGAATGTGTCTTACTTTCCTGAACACCCAACATAATCTCTCTTGAATTTGTAAATGTTTGAATAATTATTATTAAAACAGAGACGATCCTAGGAATTTTGTTGGGTCAACTATTAAGGAAATCAAAGATGAACAAAAGTTTTACATTGATCTCTCCATGCAACGTTTTCGCAATCACGTTTTTAAAAAATGACGACGATAGAGACCATCCGTCGTGTCTGGCCAAGAACAATTAACATAGAAAATATCTGTGTAGAAGAAAATCGCGAGTAATCACTGTCATGGTCACCACCGTGTCATATACAAGCATACTCCTTCATCGTAACATTTCACGTTCATAGATCGTATCTCACCTCCCGCATTCTTCACCAATGTCCAGTTTATCCCTTCATCGTCTGTCATTGTATTGTGTGAATTCCCTGTGTTGTGTGTTTGTATAATTGAAAGTATAAATACTCAACGTTACTTTGAAAGTGCGCGCGAGAGAAAGAGAAAGAGAGAGAGTAATAAAATAAAATAAATCACGACGGGTCGTTAAAAAACCACGGCACTTGCGAGAAAACCTCTCGCGTCTCTTTCTTTTTTCATTTTCATTAGTATATACGCATATTCGTATTACTTTGTTCGACATCTCTCTCATTAAAAAAAAAAACCAAACAAAAAGAACAAGAAAAACCATAAGAATCATTTCAAAATCTTTTTTGACGTCTCTCACCGCTCGAATTCCATTCCGTACGACAACTGATGTACGTTGTAAATGAATTGATTAAATAAATTGAACGATGTGAGAGACATTAAGGTTTAAATTCCAATAATTATCACGAAATACTTCATCTTCATATTCATTCGAAACTCGCACTAGCAAGTTATATCGCTTTTCACTATCGCCGAATCATAACAACTTATCTACCGAAGAAGGAAACTCATCCAAAGACTAACATTCTAACTTGAGTATTATACTTCAAGTTTAGATGTTTAGATGTGCTCTGATTTATATGGTAGGATGCTCTATCTCAGGACCCGAGGGCTGCAACCTCTTCATCTACCACCTGCCACAGGAGTTTGGTGACCCCGAGCTCATGCAGATGTTCATGCCCTTCGGCAACGTCATCTCCTCGAAGGTCTTCATCGACCGGGCCACTAACCAGAGCAAATGCTTCGGTAAGTGCGTCATTTCCACGAAAGACACTGAAAGAGCGTGGCCTTGGCTCTGTGGAACTAACAGAAAGGGCGAGAGGGAGGGTGAGGGAGAAAAAAAACAGGAAGATGACCGTAAGTAACATGGTGTTCTACTTCGTCCAAGGTAGGACTTAAACGAGAGGTATAACATTTGTCTGTGCTTGACGGAGAATTCGGATTGGACGTTTGTAAACAAAAAAAAAAAAACAAGAAAAAAATATACCGTGTGTTTCTCGTGTTGCTTTCGAATATACGCGTACGTCAAATTTTATTCATTTCGCAAGGTTGAAATAAAAATAAAATAGGACTGGCGTTATGCACGCGTGAACAAACCCTTCCGAACGTTCACACACACACACACATTTGGTATATACCCACGCGCATACACCACGCGACAATTATGAAAGCAGCCAGCATCAATGGCCGTTCGGCTCAATAAAATCGTTCTCGAAGCCTTTTGCGCGACACCAGAGAAGATCGAAACAAAAAAGGGAACTGAAAAAGAGACTGAAAAAGCCACCGGTACCGTTCCTTTGATGAATCGTATCCGATACGGATTCGCAGGTGTACATAGACGCGGATAATTGGACGATCGAACGAGATCGTATCATCTTCGGTCCATTCAGCCACGCGAACCCAGAGAAAAAGATAGAAAATAGCGATTCAGCAGACTTCTGTATTCCTTTGTACGCGTGCTTGCGTGTGTGTGTGTTAGTTAGTTGCAACGTTTTTATACAAATTCCAAAATTACAAAGACGCTCGTTAAAAAGATACATGAATGAATTTCATGATAGACGGATAAAAGATTCTACTCCTGCGTTGCAGTTTCGTTTAGAAATTTTGTTTTAACCATTTCAGTCCCAGGACTCGTAGAAAAAATTGGCTTTCTCGAAAAAACCCAAAAGTCGATCGTTAGACACCAAACAAACGTTTTAAGTCTTTTTAAAGAACGGGAACTACCTTACTCGAGAACTCACACAAACCATTGGGACCAAAATACTTTTCAATTTTAAATATATTCCTCGCGCAAGAGTAATTTAGTTGGGTTCATTGTACGAATTCAAACGCGTATTTAAATCAAACGAAATCAATATTAATTGTCGTCCTGATTAAATAACAATTTACAATTTGGCGTGTCCATTTGATAACAAAAAGTAAATGAATCGGGATATAAAAGGAAGCGATTGAAATGAATTTCGTGGAGGAAATTCGTTAACGAAATCTATTAATCGTCGTATCGTCTATTATTAATCGATCGAATCTTTTCAGGTTTCGTGTCGTTTGACAATCAAGCGAGCGCGCAAGCAGCGATCCACGCGATGAACGGCTTCCAAATAGGAATGAAACGGTTAAAGGTCCAACTGAAGAGGCCCAAGGATTCTAGCAAGCCATACTAACCCACGTCCTAGCGTAGAAAAACTGGACGGATTGCGCCCTACGTCATAACTTACAGAGTAAGCATCGTCAAATTTAAAAATCCCCTCGATCAAATTAACTATTACCCTCACAAATAATTCCGCTATATTTTTCGAAGTTTCAAAATTATCAATAATTATTTTAAACGTAACTTCTCTAAGCAATATTTCTCGCGATCCATTATTTCAATTGAAATGAAAATAATAATCGTTAATATTTAGTTGAATATTGAATTATTCATTCGTTATCTCCGACATTTTTTTTGGTAACTTCAATCAAATAAAATTTAACATTAATCTCTTGGCATTTTGTACCGTAAAATATTTCTATTATTTTTTTTTATTCAGAATGACATTTGAAAAAATGGAATATCGAAAAACCCTGAAATCTCGTAAAATATAGCGTTCCATAATTCAAAAAAGTGTCGATCAGTTCACGAACAATTTGTTCGAATAAAAAGAAACAAACCGTAACGATATTTGTGGTGGTAATAGTTATCCAATTAATATATATTTTTTTTGTTTTTCTATTGTCTTTCGATTAAAACAAAAAAAGATAGACATAGTCGAGTGTTTGTAAAAAAATATAGGAGAGAGAGAGAGAGAGAGAGAAAGAAAGACAGATATCCTCCGTTCGTTTGCAGATGTCGTACGAGAATGCAAGCCATTTGGAAGCTCGACGATCAGGAGTGACGAGTTTAAATCACCGCTACAACGCTCCTCTCCATCGTAATAACCTAGTATACTAGCTAGTTAATTTCACATAGAGAATAGTATCTAGAGAGAACGAGATAGAGAGACAAGATAAATCTCAAAGATCTTCGTCGATACGTCATGGTAGAAAATTAAAATGTTTAACGTTTCTACCTATACAGCGACCGACGATAATGATGATGATGATGATGATGATGATGATAAACGAAAAGATTCAAAAGTAAAAAGAAAAAGAAAAAAAAAAGAAAAAAAAATACCAAATGGAGGAGATTATCGAGATCGTTACTCTTCATTTTTATGCGCGCTAAACCCAAATTCGAAGAGACCAAAAGGAACCAAAAAAAAAAAAATAAAAATATATATATATATATATATATATATATATATATTTCAAGAAAGTCGGGAAAATCATCAAATTCTCTCTCTCTTCGTTGAAGTTTTAAAATTGACGTTTTCAAAACAACAAGATCCAAATTTTATCTACTACATTTAATCATTTATATTCAAAATTCCTTTTTACTTTTCTTCCTCGTAACTCTGTCCATAAGAATTGATTTTTATTATTATAATTTTTACTTTCAAATCTCTTCGTTATCCTCATCCCTTAACTTTAAAAATCCCATCTCTCTCTCCACCCTCCTACAACTTATTGTCTAATTTTTCAAGAGATTGTTGGATCCGCTAAAAGAGAATTTGAAAAACATTTTAAATAAAAACAAAACGGAAGAGAGAAGGAAGAGGATGAGGAGAAAGTGATGGAGGAGGAGGAGGAGGAGAAGAAAGACGAAGAGGAAGGAAGAAGAAAAAAAAGAAAACAAGAAAAAACCAATGAAGCTCGACGAACTTGGGCTCAGCGTCAAGATTCGAAGATCCTGCGAGTTCATCCAAGTGTCTCTCTCCTATATATGTATATATACATACACACATACACACACACACACACATATTTATATATATAAAAAAATATATATATATATATAAGAATTTTAACGCGCATCGTCGCGCGCCGTAGGTTTTATATACACTCTGGCAAATTAGAAAAAGAGAGAGAACGAATTTAAGCGCTGTGAGTTTCCAAAAGAAAGAAATGAAAAACATTTTCTATGTTATCCAAAAACTCATGACGCTTCTCTCGTTCTCCCTATATAGCACATATATAATTGATTACGATTATATTCTTATTAACTTATTATCATTATTCTTATTATATTCTTATGAAGTCGCGAGCAATTTTCCGGCTGAAAGTATTTACATATGCATATTATTATCATTATTATAATTATTATTATTATTATTTTTAGTTTGATAAGTATTATTATTATTATTATTACATTTATATACACATATACGTAACATACAGAAACACACACATACATACACGCATCACACAGGGAAAAGTTTCTACAGAATTTTCACACAGGCGTATATATTTCAAGGGTTACTTTTCCAGCGTCGAGATAAGGAAAAAAACAAACAAAACGAATATGTAAAATCATTTTTTTTTGTTCGACCGACCGCACACTGCATCGCCCGAGAAATGTCAACTAGGCTGTGATTATACCGAACATACAAAAAAACGAAAAAGAATTTAAAAAATAAATAAAATGAAAAAAAAAAAGCGAAGAAGAACGGGAGAGCGAGGAAGGAAGGAAAAAAACCAAAGATAAAGTAAGAAGAAGGGGGTGGTAGGGAAGAAAAAAAAGTGATAATAAGAAACCAAAGAGCAACGGAATCAGCATTTTGTTATTTTTTTCGTAGTTACGGTTGGGGGAGAAAAAATTTTGTCAAACAAGAATTGCATCGTATTCGAGAGAAGGGAACACATAGATTATTCCACAACAAGAACAACAAAATACAAAAACAACAACAAAATGAATCCAATAGTCTTTTTTTAATATTTTTTTTTTAATTCGATATTCCTGACTCACGCTACTACTATTATTACAACAACTACTACTACTACTACGACAACTACTACTACTATGACTAATACTAACTACTGCTACTATTGCTAGTACTACTATTACTATTATTACTACTACTACTACTACTACTACTACTATGCTAGTCAACACTTCTAGTCGCTCACATCTACGAGTGGAGAAACGAATCACGGGTTGAGATTTTCAAGTATCGTGGATTTACCAGCACGCTTTGCCATTATTCTTCGTCGTTATATTATATCGATTTAATGATGATGATTATAATGATGATGATAATGACGATGATGAGACACATAGTACAATCACAAAAAAAAAAGAAATAAAAAAAGAAAAAAAAAGATGATAAAAGAGAAGTAACAAGACCAGAAAATGGCTTAGCGTGCGGAAAACCTTTATCCTGCCAGAATCCGAGCTACTCCTCGGTCCTTCGAAAGATACGTCAATTCACGCGCTGGGAACACGAGAATTTAACAAACAAAAATAAAAAACAAAAAAAATTGTATATCTAATTCGTAGCTCGTTTATATTGTTTGTTGCGGAATCTATAGAATTGTGTTCTCCTATTGAGGAGAAAGAATAAGAAGAAGAAAATGATGATGAAGAAAAAGTAAAAGAATAAAAAATAATAAAAAGAATTATTAACGCTTCATATACTTACGTACATACTTATGTAAAAGAAAAAAGGAAAAAAAAACACATACATATATAGGGAAGCTAAGGCTAGCCGATTTTTTTCTTCTATTGTCGTTATAAAAAAATGAGGGGAAAAATAGACCAAACGATTAGAGAAAGGAAGAATAACGAATAGGGAGGAGGGAGAAGAACGATTGAATATTTAAAAAAAAAAATAAAAATTAAAAAAAAAGGAAAAGAAAGGAAGAAAGATATTAGGACATTTTGCGAGCGATGCCCGGTCGAATCATGCGACAATTCGATTATAGATTATTAATTGATCGAACGTGAGATATTTTGAGGAGGGGAAAGAAATGTAGGAAAAGGTTTGTGAAAAGTGGAGATTTAAATCGAAAAATAAAACTTAGGATAATTTTTTTAGACGATAGGACATGGCGTTACGATTACGATGATTAAACAAAATGGAGCGAGCGATGGAATGGAGAGGAGAACTTTGATCTTAGCGGAAATAATCACAAAAGGTACCAACAACTATTACGTATCTATATATCTATATATACATATATATACATACACACATACCTATACATATATATAGATATATACCTATGTATAGAATAATTATCTGAGATGAGAGGAAGTATATATATAAATATATAATTATAAATAATATAAATATTTATTACAACGAAGAAAAAA